GCCGATACCGATAACAGAAAAAATGAGCATTTATCGGCCGATACCGTTATGGTGGCCGATATATCGTGCATCCCTAATGTATATAGTATTTTCCTCTAACCACAAAACGTGGCATAATGTGAAGGTACATCTGGAACAAGGGGGGTCGTCTTATATTCAGGCCAATACGGTACATTTAAATTAATCATAATACTTACCTCAATACCTGAGTGTAATTACATCTGTAATTCATTTCTGTAATTACATTTATAATTACACTGTTGACCCATTATCCCTTACACCTTAACCCACCCTTAAACCTACCCATACCACCAATCCTGTCCCTAACCTTACCTGTATCCCACCTCAGTAGCAGCAAAAGTGTTTTGCAATACAATCCCTAACCTTACCCGTATCACCCCCCCAATAGAAGCAAAAGTGTTTTGCAAAACAATATGAACACAATAACATTGTACTTATTATGATGTAAGTACATAGTAGTTAAGGCCACCTAATATAAAGAGGGAAAAATAAAAAAATGACAAGTGTGATGCACATACTGTAAGTTAAATTTAACTGCTTCAATTTGATTATCGAGTCAACAAATGTTTTACTCTCATAAAAGGCTATCGTTTCATTTTAGCAGATTTGATTTTTGAATCATTTTGGAGCTCTCCCTATTCAATTTCATTAAATTAAAATCAGAGAATTTTTTTATAATTCAGAAATATAAAAAAAACAATCACGTTTTAAGTTTCATAGAAGAGCGTCACACAGGTTTGAAATGACAAAAGGTCAGTAAATGATGACAGAATTTTCATTTATTTTGTTGAACTGCTTCTTTAAGTCAAATCTTAAGGTAAAACTGCCAGTTGTTTTATACTTCTATTAGTCTTTCTCCCTTTGAATTTGGTCATTAGTCTGTTTTTAATCCTAAATGTTGTTGCTCGTGAAGGACATGCAGTATAAGTGTTTGGTCTGGTGACTTTACTGTGGAATTTTAAGCTGTGTTTGTCAAACAAATGCCGGTTCAGTGCACATTCCTCAGAAACAGTGCAGCTCAGATGAAATTGTGTATTTGTATGTTTCTGTGTTCAGATTATGTGACGAGATCTTCAGTCTGAAAGTGAGACCTTATATCCGCTTTAGTCCCCTCCCATACACGCATAGACATACATACACGTACAAGTGCACACACCAAAAGGCCCAGGACATGACACTGGGATAAACAGCAGGCAACATTCCTGGCTACCATGACAACCCAACCTTTTTATGTACTGGTGCTCCTAGAGTATGATTGTAAAAGGGACACTTATCCAGTTAGCCACAAGTATGTTCACAGCAGGAGGAGAATACAATGCTGTTTGCCTTTGGTGTGCAGGTCGTCCATGTCAGGGTTCCCACAGTCACAGAAAACAAGAAACTGTTTTTGTAAGAGCTCATGTAAAGCACTAATGTGAACAAGAGACAGTCCAGTTCAGATTTGATGATTTGTTTTTTTATCAGATCTGTTTACTCCTTTACAATCCAAATGTCATAACTCTGAATGTGTTCTTCTTGTGAAACAACAGACTTCTCTCTGGTGACTATGCTGGACTTCTCCACTCATTTAGTCTGCATAAACATGTCTCTTTAATACAGTTGACTGCAAGCTCACATTCAGATATGCCTCCATTCAGTCAACAACTGATGGATAGCACCAAGTCCTCGTCCTATATTTTGTCTTTTTCAATAATCCGTTTCACTTGGATGCATGTCACAAGTCAGAAGAAAAGATCTGTCGCTACTTCCGCTACATAGCCTGTGTCACTCACATGTGTCTGTCCTTGAATAACTCACAGGTGGGGAACGAGGTCATGAAGGCCAGAGGGGAGAGTTCACTCTGGTTTGCAGGGACTCCTCCGGAGAGCAGATGGGCCGAGGTGGAGACCCTGTGCTGGTCAGCATTGTGCACAAAGAGAAGAAGGGCTGGTGAGCATATATGGGAAAATTAAGACCACCACATTTTTAATAAAGTCACAGTAGGGTCACTAAAATCTTTACAAGGTTGAAGCATAGGCAAAATATTACTTTCTAATTACAGATTCCTCCTGATCTATTAATGCACGTCATTTAATCAAATGAACATTTTTTTGTTTGAATTTATTCTGAGATTCTTTTATTCATGAGTGAATAAATAAATATTTTAGGCCTTTTAAAATATTATTTAGGCCTGAATGTAAGCTTTATGTATTTTAATTGCAAATAAAATGTTGATCTGTTTGGATTGCACAGTATTAATAAACTAATAAACTTAATGTGATGCATATTTGTCAGCCTTATTAAAATGAAACAAGAATGAGATTTCTGTAATAGTAATAATAAACTGAATGCATTTTAAATACACAGCAACACAAGCTTAGAAGGAATTAAAGTGAATACTATACATTCCTTTATCAGCATCTAACATCAGATCTTAAAGGTGACATATCATGAAAATCTGACTTTTTCCATGTTCAAGTGCTATAATTGGTTCCCTGGTGCAACTACCAACCCAGAAAATGTGAAAAATAACAACCCAATAATTTTTTTTTGGTAAGCCTTTCTCTGCAAGCTTGTGAAAAAACTGAAGAAAGCCACTCAGATTTCGCTCCCCCCACCCCGGTGATGTAGAAAGGGGATCTTATTATAATATTACTGCCCCTTAATCTGCACGATTCCACCCAGTCTGTTTTCGCAAGCAACAACGGTGTACCAGCTCTAATGCCACGGCGAAAGTTCGAGCAAAGCATGCTAACTGTTCTGTCTTTGGATGCACTGACAGGAGGAGACAAGGAGACAGGAGACGAGAGCAATGAATTTATTGATTTATTTACTGTATATTACACGGCTGCCACACAGATCTTATATAAACATGCAATTTCTTTTCCAGCTGTTTACCTTCACAGACATAACCGACTGTTTGTACTCACACTTGTGTGTTTTTAACATAAACCTGTGTGTATTTGACAGTTTAAGCGCAATAAGACATGAAAGAGAACTTAGTTTAGTACTCATGTGCTGTGTTGTGACAGCCGCTTTCTGTGCGCGTGCTTCAGATGTGTGTGCTCAGAAAACTGTATATTAGAAGTTTAACCTAAGATGGTTTAAAACGCATGATTTCAACATGATAGACATGATCATCAAGACCAAACATATGTTTTTTAGTAGAGTATCTGAGGAACGAGCTGTAAAGGCACAGCCCTATTCTAGAAAAGGGGGCGGGGAACAGCAGCTCATTTGCATTTAAAGAGACATGCACGAAAACAGCATGTTTCTGCTCCCACTTAAAGCTGCAGTCCGTAAGTTTTGCCTCTTTGTCACCATCTCTGTTTGAAAACCTGGAATTGCAGCTGTGTGCGGAATTATCTAGCTTGCATGGGTTGTGAGTCGGCACGGCTCCAGCGCGAATGAATCTAATGTTCTGAAGAGTATGTATGTGTGTGTGGCAGTCAGTCACCGCACCTGTGTGGATATTTACTGTACTTCGCAATCACAGATTCTAGCCTACGTTTTGGAGTATTATTATTACTGTTATACTTTATTCTAAAATGATTAATGTTAACATCAGCATTGGTGACTATGAGTATAGTGTGTATTAGCATGTAGATTTCAATTTCTGCACAGTCTAATCTAATTGTCATACTCTTTGAATTTCATATTAAGAAATTATTTCAACCCAAAAAGCAAATTATGCTACATTCGAACTGCTTTTCTTTAAAATACAAATCTTTGTAATCCCAGGCTATCTGTAATCAGAAGTACATTTATAACTGGAATATAATTTAATTCACATGTGTTTCATAAATACATAATCCTTTATGGATTACAATCCGCCATCAAAATGATACATTTAATTATTCTGGCTGCTGTGAGAAAAGGCTATAAACGATCAGCCAACTGCAGGATCCTCACATGCGATAGCCTAGTAGTCGGGACAACTTCTTTATGTTTACAGACGTGACGTAATGACGCAGTGCCATGTTAGAATTTCCCGTGAAAACCTACCCGTACCACTCAAATTAGAAAACATTATTATAAGCTAACCGTTGTGAATCGGGCTAAAGTAAGGGGATAGTTTTGAATACTGGCTGGTTATGTACTTGCTCAAATATTGATTTCGGATCATTTTTAACCAAAAAAAAGTTACGGACTGCAGCTTTAAAATAGGCATTTTCAAAATTATAATAAATGATATGTGGGGTATTTTGAGCTGAAACTTCATATACACATTCTGGGGACACCTGAGACCTACTGTATATTACATCTTGTAAAAAGGGGCATAATAGGTCTCCTTTAACATTATTCAGACTGCGATTTTCCATGAGTGTGTCTGTCACATTACAGCACTGTGGAGGCGGCTGTGGTGGATAAGGGGGATGGTTCCTATGTTGTGTCCTACACCCCAGCTGAAGCAGGTCTCTACTCTGTGTGGGTCTGTGTTAAAGCTCAGCACGTCCAGGTAAGTGTTCATTTAAACCAGTGCAGCTGTGTCTAATAATTGTATCATTGTACTGGCAAGTTTAAAGGTATATCAGTGATGCTAGGGAATTATATTCTAACAATAGGTGGTTTCTAGGGTTCGCCATTTGTGCTAAATGTGAAAAGGAAGTTCAGACGTCACCGTGGCATATTTCATTGTTGTTCATTCTGCTCCAGTGGGGGCGCTAAAGAGGCATGCTGTGGCTGCACAGGAACTATGCCAGGTACTGTTTACTCCAAAAATGTTTAAATTAATTTTAAAAAGTATGTTTTCTCCTAATATAAATGTCTCTGTGTGTGTGTGCACTCAGGAGGGTTTCAGGGTTGTGGACATGGTCATAAAGGACACCCCGGTAAGCCCCACTGGTCATGTTGTGGGAGTGTAGTGGAGGCCTCAGAGTGTATTCTACATAACCTGGGCAGCGTTTCTCCTCGTGGACACCTCAGGACTGTGGAGCTCTGAGACAGAGCAAATATACACTCTATCTGATCGACATAAGCATAAACTCATAAACATACTTGAATCTTCTCAATCAGCCTACATATACAGTGGGTACGGAAAGTATTCAGACCCCCTTCAATTTTTCACTCTTTGTTATATTGCAGCCATTTGCTAAAATCATTTAAGTTAAATTTTTTTCCTCATTAATGTACACACAGCACCCCATATTGACAGAAAAACACAGAATCGTTAAAAATTGAAGGGGGTCTGAATACTTTCCGTACCCACTGTAATTCACTATAAATAAAAAATCACATTGTGTTTTTATGTTGCCCTTATTCACACAGTCTTTAAACCTTAATTTGAATGATAATCTTTTTTGTTGTTTCAGCAGTGTTAATATTCAGAATCATGGCAGTCTGATAAACTGCAATACACAAAGTATATTTAAAAATGTGTTGTCTATTGTACAAAGTGCCAACACTAAATACCTCAGTACTGTCAGTAAAGATTTAACTATTGGTTTCTTTACACATTTAGAACTAATTATTTTTAATCACTGTAAAATTTTGTGTGTGGCATTATATTGTTCCATATTTTATCATAATCAGCATGATTTGAAGAAATATTGTAATGTCTGTGAATATTTTGTTAATGTGTGCAGTACTGTTTTATGTTTCATCTTTTATGATAATCAGCATGTTTCCTTTGATATTACCCAGCTATATGAGCAATGAGGTATGCGTTATTATAATGCTTTATTTTTAGATGTGTGCATGACTCCAAAGACTGCCGTTATTGTATGCATCCATTACATTTCTCTTGTCTTTGTATATGCTGTATTGGTTCCACAGATTAAACAACATTTACCGCTCCACTTGTGTGGTTAATAAACTGCCACTTTTAAGATTGTATTTTTGATTAATTGTTAATGTGATATGTTTTACATAGTGTATACTGTGTAGTGTGGTCTATAAAACATCCAGTACATATACTTACTATCAAAATGTATAGTTTTATGTGGGTATCACCATCATGTTTTTTGCCTTGCTTATCGAGTAGCCTAATATATTTTAATCTATGCAGTTATTGTTTGGTTCTTATCATATAACTTAATTGTTTCATAGCGAGTCTTTATAGATGTATTTGCCAGTTTTTTCTTACTTAAAAGCACAGATTTTTAGAAATCAGAAGTGATGGTTTAAAGTTTGAAGTTAATGCTTTATGATGGATTTGTTTTTTACAAACGCTTTTCACTTCACAAGATAATTGACAGACTGGAGTCATGTTGATTACTTGTGGATTGTTGTGGTGTTTTTATCGGCTGTTTGGACTCATTCTGACGGCACCCATTCACCACGGAGGATCCACTGGTGAGCAAGTGATGTAATGATAAATTTCTCTAAATCTCTTCTGAAGAAAAAACTCGTCATGCTGGATGGCCCGAGGATTACTAAATTTTCAGCAAATTGTCATTTTGTGGGTGAACTTTTAACAGTTCAACCCAGTGGATCAACATACTGCCCTTTCCAACACTAGATGGCAGCAGTGCTTTGTGCGGAAGTTTCGTTGCTTGGTGGCTAAAATTCTGCGCTCTCTCTCCCTCTGTCCGTCTGTATTAACAGGTGCACCAGAGACGTGGAAAAATTTCGTCTCAGGCTTTAAAAAGCAACACGAACCCTTATTAAAATACATAATCTGTATGAAATATTTTTTTCTTATGTCATTCTTGTAATATTTCTACATCATTCAATTTACTTGAAAGGAAACTTGCTGAATAAAAACGTTTTGAGTGTTAATGTGACCTTAAAATACATTTTTAAATTTATCATATAAAAATATATATTTATATAAAGGGTATACATTATATATTTATCTCCACTTGCAAAAAAAAAAAAAAAAAAGCCTGTGATTAATCCCAGGAATTATGTCAGACAATGACCTCTACTATTTTTCCACTATGCCATGCACATACAAAGCAATGGATTAAAGTAGCAGTCAATCTGATTCAGAAGGACACCCCACATGCTTTGAACCCTCAGTTTTCTCTTTGAAATCTCTGAGCTCACACAGTCAAGGACTTGAGGAGTTCTAAGCCTGCAAACAACTGAGTTTTTATCAGAACTGTTCAACGTAACATTTAAATTGATCTATTCATTATAATCTACTGATTATCTGATATTTATATGAAGTGGTTATTTCATTATTGATTATTTTTATAGTTAATTATTTTGTTTATTGAAAGGCATTTTTTAGTTAATACCCCTAATTTATGTACATATGTGACCCTGGACCACAAAACCAGTCTTAAATCGTTGGGGTATATTTGTAGCAATAGCCAACAATACATTGTATGGGTCAAAATTATCGATTTTTCTTTTATGCCAAAAATCATTAGGATATTAAGTAAAGATCATGTTCCATGAAGATATTTTGTAAATTTCTTACTGTAAATATATTAAAACTTCATTTTTGATTAGTAATATGCATTAATAGTTGTATCTCAGCCAGATATTGTCCTATACCATACATCAATAGAAAGCTTATTTAGATTATATATAAATCTATTGACCCTTATGACTGGTTTTGTGGTCCATGGTCACATAGCTGTACAAAGATCAGTTTTCACCTATATTTTCTTCTAAATATAAATGGATTTTGCGTAATCTTAGCCCTTTTCCTATAAAAAACAGCTTATATTTATATAGCCTAAACTTCAGGAATAATAGAACTGATGATTTATCCATATATGCATATGTTTTCATAAAAAAAATGTTTTGTTTTTTTTCCTTTCCTTCTATTCCTAATATAGAAAAAAGTCTAGGGTGCTGATCCAAGAACATGTCCTACTTGGCAAAATCACACAATCTAAATGATCAATAAAATATATTTTGATTAACATATATAAAAGTAGTGTTATATCTAATTTGTATTTCAGAGAGGAATCTCAAAGAATCTCATTTGTGACCCACATGTGCAATCTAAAGGGCTAAAATAGCTATGTATTAATCTGAATTCATAGGGTTTGACAGCACCAGCACCAGCACCAGCACGCATCACATGACAGATTCAAGTCTCTTTAGGGGGAAGGGTCTGATACACTGATGCCATGACCTGGATAGAATCTAAATGGCTGGTGGAAAGGGGGTTTGGATGGAAGAAAGTTGACGAAGAGAAGCAGCAGAAGCGTATCTTTATATGGCTTGTGCAGATTATAATATAAAGCATAGCGTATCATTATTTGGCTTGTCTCATAATTTAAAGCATATATATATATATATATATATATATATGTGTGTGTGTGTGTGTGTGTGTGTGTGTGTGCATATATACACACACACGCACACTTGTTCTTACTTGTTTGTCATCCAGAGGACGTCACTAATGGTATGCATCGTTAAACTTGTTGCCTGTTTTCCAGAGACCTCGTATTCCTTGGCGTGCACTTCTTCTGTGAACGGCTTTACGTAATCATCATGGGCTCGAGACCTGCTCGCTATCATATCTGTTGATATTGGATGCACTCAGTCATTCAGTTGCCTCTTCTTCTCATTGCATTTGCCATCTCTCTGTCTTAAACACATTGTCTTGTTTGGCAGTGTTTACCTCTACGAGCTCTTCTCTTTATCTACACTTCATTTATCATTCACACTTGAGGTCTAACGCATATTCTCTTTCCCTTTGTTATTTTTCCTCCACATGCCCTTTTGTAAATTGCTCTGTCTGAAGTATACACTCTGTGCTTTTGCCATATCCATTAGTATGTGACTACAGTCTGCCTCAGATCTCTAATCTCCCATCAATCCTTCGCAAGGTGAGAACTCTTCCTCACCTGTCAGCAACATGTCATGTCACAGAGCCGAGACCAGATTGTTGTGACAAAGCTTGACAACCCAGGCTAAAAGCTTCTTTATCATGCCTGCAAAAGCACTGAAGGGAATAATAACGCATGTGCCAGAGAGTTTTGAATCCGGGACTGTGTTGCGACTGAATTATTCAGTTGGATTAGTTAACATTAGCAGTTTGTCAATAATTCATTCACCAGGAGAAATGTGGTTTTCAGGACAACTTGCATAACATAGTGTTTAGTCCCCTTTGGGCACCTCAGATATTTTAGTAACAGAGCCGGAGATGCTCACTCGCACAATTAAAGAGATGGGAGTAAAAAAATTAATTAAAAAAGCGAATGAAGGGGACATGCAGCATACTTAATCTATATTATTAATCATTGATCATAGTAAATCATGTTTAAGATGTCAACTATAAATTCATGACTATCAATTTATGTAAGCAAAAACTGAAATTTCATCATCCTATACTCCCTGAAGATTATTTTCTTCTGCTGAACATAAAAGAATGTGGTTAACCAAACAGATGCTTGTCCCCATTGACTTCCCCATATGGAAAAAAATTACTATGGAGGTCAATGGGGACTATCAGCTGTTTGGTTACACACATTCTTCAGAATATATTCTGTGTTCAACAGAAGTAGAAAAAAAAAAACTAATATAGGTTTGGAACAAATTGAAGGTGAGCAAATGATGACTTTTATTTTTGGGTGAACTATCCCTTTAAAGGTCCCATGGCATGAAAATTTCACTTTATGAGGTTTTTTAACATTAATATGAGTTCCCCTAGCCTGCCTATGGTCCCCCAGTGGCTAGAAATGGCGATAGGTGTAAACCGAGCCCTGGGTATCCTGCTTTGCCTTTGAGAAAATGAAAGCTCAGATGGCCCAATCTGGAATCTTCCCTTTATGTCGTCATACGGGGAAAGGTTACCTCCCCTTTCTCTGCTTTGCCCGCCCAGAGAATTTGTCCCGCCCATGAGAAAATGAGCTACTACCGTGCGAGGCGAGCGCAATATTTTTTTTCCTCGAGAGACATCATGGCTTGCAAACGAGCGAAGCATGGCAGTTGCCCCGCCTCTCTCCTCCTCATTAGCATTTAAAGCTACAGACACAGAAATGGCACGTCCTAAGGAAAGCTCATTGTGGGACTGGCTCGTAGTGGCTGAAATTCTGCACCAAGGCTGAATTTCGGGAAAGAGACTTCAGATACAGTACTAGGGACCACTTAGGCCTATATAAAAGCATCCAA